TCGAAGACGATTTTTACCAACATATTTTGGTACTCAACAAGAATATTACAAAAATTTGGCGTATACGAAGAAAAAAAGAAACGAAATATATAATTCTGTGAGACCAGAAACTGTTTCGAAACAAGTTTCAATGTTGCGTCAATACCGAGTTGGTTTGTTTTATATAATTTTTATAGAAATTCTAGTTTAAGGAAGCGAAAAAAAAAGTTTTATTTTAATCAATCGACGTTTCAGGTGAACTTCCTGATATTGAAATTGAACATAGCGACATTATTGGTCCATTACAAGCACTGGCGCATAGGGATTTGGATATTTCTCGGATTTTATTTTCAACATTGTTTGTTTCCATTTATGAAACCACTGAAGATGATACGATCATGGTATATAAAAAAAGAATCCGATTACTGGTTTTTTCAAGTAATAGCGAAATATACTTTGGAATAATATTTGTTGTTTTTAGGATGTTAATGCGCAAAATGAATATACAAATTCAATGTCTCAACATATTAAGACCATTTTCAACGCAACGACATCATACTTTCCGCCTTTGATTAGTAGCTGTCTAAGAATATGCTATGAAATTCCTGACCTTAAAATTGATCCTTCAGCTATCCGAAAAGCTAGTGAAATTAGTTCAACAGAGTCAATGGGTATAACGTTAATCGAACAATATCTGACACTGCTTCCTACACAAAGGGGTAAGTTATTATCAACTTATATTTATATTATCAACTTTTAGTTGTATTCATTTATAATTTTAATTTTATAGGATCAAAAAGAACACGTACTACAAATACTGGTCTCGTCGCCGAGAGCAAGCAACCATGGATAGAGTTAGCACATCTTTATAAATCAATCGATAGTGGTGATGTTTATAAGAGCATATATGAAAATTATATTGCTCACAACCAATATACCAAGAGTAAGTTTATTTGATATTTTTATTTTGTTCTTACGCATGTAAATTTTTCTTTAAATACTCTTAACACTGAATTTAAATGTTTTTCTTACACATATACGTATATTTTTTATTTGAGTAGATGCTCTTAACGCTGAATTAATAGGAGATTATGCTTCAGCGTGTGAATTCTATTTGCGAGCATTAAGTGAAGTAGAAGATGCAGATGATGCCGAGGTTTGTATTGTTAAAATTTTCAAATATTTAATTTTACATCCTCATACGTTCTCTTTAATGTTTTCTTTAATGTTTTCTTTAATGTACTCTTTATAGGTCACAGTTTGGGAGGAAGGTAGATTCGAATGTTTTGAAAAATTATCAAAATGGGATGACTTGGCAGAAACCGTTTGTGTAGATATTGATTCAGATTTGGAAAAGCTTTGGGATCAGGATTTTCAGGTGTCTAAAATTATAAAATTTTTCGCTTAATTTACTTAATCACTTACAATAATTTGTTCAATAAATAATTAATTTACAATTCTGT